TATTTCCTTTATTTGTTTTTGAGAACAAGCTAATAAGCAACAAAATTAATAAAGGTTCAGTATTTGATAGTAAAGTGATAGGGAAATCATGAACCATAAAGCAAAAATAATGTATTGAGTCCTTTGTACAGTGAGCTTATTTTCTGTTTTTGCTCACTTTTATAGTGTTCTCTCCTGTTTTCTAAGAATTACAGCTTTTCAGATCTGGAACAGTGACTGCTTTTCATACTTTTCTATCAGTGCAATGGTTCAAGTTTTTCTTGCTGCACAGTTTGAGCAAGAGATATTGCAGTATTTATTAGATAAAAGGTGACAGGCAGAGGTACAGTTAATGAGATGTGGGCTAATTTAATATGTCTGGAACTGAGAAGTTAGACTATAAAATAAAATTATGGGCAGGGCTTAAGGTTCCAAATTATTTAGTTTAAAATAGCGTCTTCATTATTTTTATCTTAGTTTTGGGAAGATACTTAAAAGAAGGGGATTGTTTAATTTCAGATTTGTGTTATTATGATATTTACTTTGAAAATGCCCCATCCTTTATATTACGAAATGAACAAACTAACAAAAGCTTAAGGGATTTTTTTTTTTTATCTCGAAATTAGTTGACTCTGTAACTTCCATAGAGAAACCATATTTTTTGGAATTCTCTAACTTCTCACCTGGCATGTAGACAGCGTTTAAGATACTTTGAATCACAGTGTCAGAAGCCAACTCTCAGAACTGACTCGACCCAACATCTTTTGGTCTGTTAATCAGAGCCTGGAACCATTTAATATACCACAAAAATAGAGAGACAGATTTATACCCTATCTATTTTGGGGGGGAGGGGCATCATTGGTTCTATAAAGGGTTATAATGTTAAATGTTAAGGGAATTCATACTGCTCAAGTGTTTACACTTCACTGCCTTTAAATCAGGGCACCATGTGTAACAGTTGAGACTGTCTAGACTCTGTGGTCCCATGACTTGACACTTCCTCAGTGACAAGAACATGGTCAGACAACTTTGAGCTGAAGGTGTGACTCATGGCCACTATGGATACATATTTCCTTACACTTTAGTGTCCTCATCTGAAAAATGGATCTGACAGTTATTAAGTTCAAAAGTCATTGAATGGGTTAATGACCTAAAATGGCATTTTTAGAGTGCTTCATATTTTTATAGTTATGTACCAGACTAGACTTTCCAATTAATGATATTATCCAGCAACTTAAGAGAAGTTCACTACTCTTACAGATAACCAATTGTAGACTAAATGAGCTTGTCAAATAATGAAGTATGTGTTTTCCTGTTCTGCTGTGGTATATAATATTCAGAAGTACAGAAAATAAAGGATATGTGAAGAAGTTATCCTTTGGGGAAAGGATAAAGGTGCTTTTTTTTTTTTTTTTGGCTTTTGCTTTTTGTAACTACCCATATCCTGGTAAATGCTGTTGTTGTTTTTTTGTTTGTTTGTTTGTTTTTTCTCTCTAATTCAGACCCTTCTTTAGCTCCAGATGTTTACATTGAAATGCTTAGGGTGTATTTTGCTGACATGTAGCCCCTAGCGGTGTCCAACTCTAAACTTGGACTCTTTTCTCTAACTGCTATTCTTTTTTCCAGAGTTACTCAAGTTCTAGAATAGAATTGCTATCTCTCTGCATCCTCCACAATATCTAATTTAATACCAAACTCTGCTTCCCTTAGTCTAAGTGATTATTGCACCTAACTATTCTTAAACCTCTCTTGCCCCTTTCCATTATTCAACCAACTATGGTATTTTTTTCTGTATACAATTCTACTTTCTTTAAAGACCTTACTGGGTGTTTCTGCCCCATTTAATTTTACATTTGCTTCCTCTTCAGCTGTGACTGGCATCTCTACTTTTCCTTTTGACTTCATACATTTCTCCTAACTATTGTGGACATTGTTCCCCAAACAGGGAAATATATTTTAGAGCTCATTCTAAGTCCTGTTTCTTTAAATCTTTGCTTATCTCTAGAAAAAAATCAGTTCTTCTGCTATAAAATCTCATGCTTCTCCCAAATTATAAATAGCATTTAACTTTGTTTACAATTACATATTTGCTTGGTTATTGAATACTGTCAACTTCCCCAAGTAACATGTAAGTCCCATGAGGACTAAGACACTTTTAGTGTTTACAGAGACCTAGAAATCCATGACAACAGGTAAGACATATTAAATGAGGTTAAGGACAGGTGAAGTGACGTGTTAACATGGGAGTATTTAATTTGCATTGTTTGATGTGCCTGCTTTTTCTATTAAAAATAAAAATAACTAGTATTTTTAATTTCTCATTACAGAATAAGCTTCTCAGAAGTTGATTATGTCTAAATGAGTTTTAGAGTAAAACCTTTGCACTTTCCTTAATATTACATAATCCAGAAAAGATACAGCTGATTAAAGCTTCTTGATATAGATGAGTGTGCTTGTTTAGGTTACTAAGGCATAAAAATTTTTAAGAACTACTAAAACTTATGAAAACAAGAAGTCATATATCTTTTAATAGTTTTCTCAGCTCTTAGGAAAGTTAAAAGGAATTAAAGATTAATATAATATTGAAATTAAGCTTTTATGTTGCTTTTTTGGTGTTCAGACTGTAATTTACTCCATGACTGTTGTTGGTGATTGAAATGTTCTTGTGAAAACTCTTAAGACTTCAGTGTTTTCTTAAAAATTGGTTTATATTTTTTAAATTACTGGTATTTACATTTTTGAAATTAGTGCTTTCAATAAGATTTTGGTTTCCATCTATCCAGAATTCTCACTAGGAGTGCACAACTTAAAAAATAAAGGGACACAATCAGCAGAAAAAAGAGGTGGTCTGAGCATTTGTGTTAAATATGCATGTTAATTAGGGGAAAAATTAGAAAAATATGAAAACAGATGTTACCTAAATTATTGCAGTCCCAGGGCAACCGTAACTTATACACTGACAATAATTTTTATATGTTCATGTGTATATCTATTTCTCGATTTCTCTATATTTATGCATTTCCTAAGAGAATAACTAGAAAAAGAACTGGTATATCCTTTCAGTAAGATTGTGGCAAACATTCCTTCCATATGTGATTTACGGAGGAAGTTTGGTTATTTCACATGGTCTTACTTTACGGAAAGTCTTCCTTCTTTTCCCTTCTTTTTGGTTTCACTGATATTCTGTCAGTGAGCCCTGTCATTTGGGCATGTCCTTCTGAACAAGAAAGTAAATTATCAGCCTAGCAGTGTAAGAAGTGTAAAACAGACCTCATAAGGTGTGTCTTTAGAAGCAGAACAGATGACAACTTTAGGACACTGCTTACAGGGCCACCTTTTCCGTGTTGATGCACTTTCTGACAAAATAGCCATAATTATCTGAATAGCAGCGACATAGTTGTATGACAATGTATTGATACTATATAAAGACCTTTCATCAAACTCACATGTGTTGGAGTAGTTGAAAATATTTGAATATCTTTCATGGTAAGGAGTCATAAAGTATAAAAACAGTCCGTGTTATTACAAGGGAAAACTGAAAGAGATATGTGTTATTTTAGTAGTATAGCAACTTTTGATTCAATGATACAGAAAAGCTGTGTGAATATATTTCTGTTCAAGGAGCTGTTGACAATATATAGGTATTTTCTATATATGTTATATAATTTAGTAATGTGTGTAATTATTCAGAATAGTTTGAAAGTTAAAATTGGGAAATTCTGTCGAAATATAATAAATTATTTTTATTATATAACTAAAAAAAATATCAGTACCTTGATAACATTTATACAAGATCATAAAACAGTTTCAGGAAATGTGTCTAGAAATCAATGCCACAATTTTCTGTTTTCTGTACAAATTGTACCTTTTTATTTAGTTATAGTAGTATATAATGCTAAAAACATGTTTTTAGTAATTTTTTTGGTATCTCAGTAGTTTTCAGGTCTATTATTGACTTATGTTTGTTTTACATTTTATTTCCTAGCTACTGCTGTACCTTTGTACATATGTTGCTACCAATGAATTTTTTAAATATATATTTTTAAAGATTTATTTATTTATTCATACAGAACTGGGGTACAGGCCAGAGGTGCAGGGACAGTGAAAGGATTCACTAGAGAGAGAGTGGGGAGCAGAACAGGCTGACTTATAAGTTCACTCCTGAGGGGAGCAGGGGGTGGGTCAGGAGAGGTCTGCTGTGCCATATGGGTCACCCCTGGGACGGGAATTGAACTCATGCTGAAGTGGCTTTAGATTCTTAGTGCTGTGCTTTAACCTGCTGAGCCACCAGGGAGGGCCCCCAATGAACTTTTAATTGGTTATGGTAAGTAAATTAATCAAGATAAAATTCTAGCTAAGAGTGATAATATGCTTAGTGATTTATTATTAAGAGATTTTTTTATTGAGTAGCTATTGAATAAATTCATTTGTCATTCTTGTAGTTTTGAATAGAGTTATCTGTACAGATGATTTGTGGAAATATATTACTGAAGGTGATCAGATATTTTTCTTTATCTCTAGGCAAAACTGCCATGGAAATTAATTTTTACTTCACAAATATTTACTTGCCATACTAATACAACTGTATCACAGCATTATATTTTATTAATTCTTTGACATCTATTTCAATGGAATTGTTTTCACATTTAATTCCAAATGTCAAATTTCCATTTTTTAATTTATGTCATCTGAAATACTTGGTATAATTTTGCTATGTGGTAGAATGTGGTGCGTTCACTATTTTAGCTCTTTTATGTTCGATGGAATTTATAACAAGTGATTTGTTTTATATTGGAGGGTGAGGGGGTTTGCTTAATAATGCTTTTTATTGAGGTATTATACAATAATTTACTTTATTCCACAAGTTAAAGTAGATGACAAAAAGAGTGATTAATGTGTAGGCTAACATTTGTCCCTATGGGCCTACATTTTGTTTTTTAGCTTGCCTGTTGTATTCTTTGTCTGGTTTAGCATTCTTTCTGGCATAGAATTATTTGAAATGATTTTATTTATTTTTCTAGGTACTTGCTGTTTTTTTAGAAGTTCAGTTGAAGGAAAACTCAGCTGATATCTCTACCTTGATTCTTCTTTACTTCCTGTTTGCCAGCTAGAACAACATCATGCATATTCACATGTCAATCAGTTTTGGGGGCTAGTAAGCTACTTGTGGAAGGTAAGTATGTTTATTTAAACTTGAAAATTGAATATTTTCAATACCTTTGGTTTTCATTACCTTAATCCTTTGGTTTATAACAAGAATCAAATACACCGGGTGGCTTATAAACAACAGAAATTTATTGCGCAAAGATGAGATGTGGAGGCTGCTATGCCCACGATCAGGGTACCAAGCACATTCCCACCAACAATGTAAGAGGGTGTCAGTTTGTCCTTATCTTGCCAACATTTATTATTTCCTATTTCTTAGATAATCAGAAGATTTTATGATAATGATAATAGGCTTTCAGCAAAGTATGTTGTAGAGAAATATCCAGTACTTTTTATATAGCTATTATCTCTCAATGTAGTATTCCTTAATTTTGTTTTCTTTCTAGCATTATTTGGTAGATACTAAGGTGATACTATTATCCAGAATAAAGGATGTCTTTCCTTCATTCTCTCAAAAGCCACACTTCATTTTCTTTCATACATCCACATTTTTTGCATATGTGTGTATACATCTTTAATTTTGCTAGGGTTTTAAATTATACTCACCCCCTTTTTTTCTCTTGCTTAATGTTCATAGGTCTCTGCTCTGTGTACACCACAATTGTACTTCTGGCCTTCTAAGTCACAACATGATACCTTAAAAAGTTATTTTGTTTTGAAAACTATCTTATTTAATGTGGACCTTCTATTTTATATTTTTTAGAACTTTTTTAGCTTTTTGCTGAACTATCATTCTCAGGTTTCTTTTCATGATGTTATTTACTTCCAGTATTTCTTGTACCCTGTTATCATAGTTCAAATAGAGTTTCAGGAGGCTAAATGGCGAAAGATGAGTTTTTCTGAGTCGTGTATATGGGATATGTTTTTCTTTTATTCTCACAGCTTATTAAAAATTTAGTTAGATAAGTCATTCTTTTAAAAACTCTGAAGATTTTGCTTAATTTTTTTCTACTTTCCTTTTTCCTCCTGAGAATTTAAAGTCTGTTTTACTCACTAAAAATTGTTTTAAATATGTCACGTTGAAAATAAGAGAAAATTCTTAACTTAATTAACCTGTATTTTAGCATGAAGAGACCTACAAGAAGCAAGCTAAATAACATATGTGTGTGTTAGATAATGATGTGTAGGAAAGTACAGCAGGGGATGAAGGATCAGAAGTTCAGAGTCTAGGAAGAGATTGGAAATTTCACATAGGCTGGTCAGGAAGAACCTCACAAGAAGGCCACACTCCAGGGAAGACCTAAAGGTGGCGAGGAGGTGAGCTTCTCCAGCAGAGAGAAAAGCAGTGCAAAGACCCTGAGATGGGATGTCACTGGCCATTCAAGGAACAGCGGTGGGGGTGGGGAGGATGAGCTGAGGTTAGGAAGTGGTAGGGGGGTGGTGGTGTCAGTGTGGCTGTAGCAACGTGAGAGGAGAGTAGTAGGGATTCAATTATGGCCGTGACTTGTAAAGACTGCAGTTGGTTTCTACCCTGAGTGAGATAGAGAGCCTTGGTGAGTATCATTGTGGGGTTTATAGTTTAACAGATTTACAGTATGCTGGGTTGAGAATTGACTTTAAAGGAGCAGGCAGTAGAAAGGCCATGTTGAAGGTTAGAAGTGAGAGGTGATTGTGGTTTGACCAGCACGACTTGCTGATTGACTGAATTTGAGTTATGACAAAGAGGAGCAAAGAATCACTCCAGTAATGTTTTGGTCTCAGAAACAAGAAAGATTGCTTCCTTTAATGAAACAGGGAGGTTATAAAAGATTACGTTTGGGGGAGAAAGTCAGAAATACAATCTTAGACTTGTTAATTTGGAGATGTTTATGCAGTGGAGAAGTCAAGGAGAATAACATGGTCCAGAGTGCAAGGAGGAGGTCTGGATGAAGGAACAACTGTGGACATTGTCAATTGTTCCTGAAATTTTTAAAAGGGTAATATTAATGCAATCCAGAAATGCATAGCTAGAGGAGATTTAACACCCTGGTCTTGGGGTGATTTAACTAATGGGGTTAGGATAAAAGGAGTTAGCAGAAGAGGTCAGAGAAGGAAAAACATCCTTAAGGAAAAGTCATTTCAGAATATCTGAGAGCTGGTGAAGCTTAATGACAGAAATGTCCCAAGGAAGGGGAGTGTCATTTTGACAAACACCATTGTCAGGGGAAGTTATAGACATTGTTGACTCTTAGATTTAGTCATGGAAGATCACTAGTGACTTTGAGAAGAACAATTTCAGTAGAGGACCAGCATCTGAGGAGCTCTAGGCAAAGTGGGAGAACATATGTGGCAGCTTTAAGGGGAATTTGGAGTTAAGAGAAAATTTTAATTAGCAGAGAAGCAGCATATTGCTAAGAATGTTCCAGGATTATCATCAGGAATAAACTGATGATAAAAGAAGAAGCAAAATTGTGGAGACAGTGTGAACTAGTGAAGAAACTGACCTTAGATAGCAGCATGAAGGGTTTACCCTAAATAATAGGAAGGCAAAGTATTGGGGCCAACCAGCAAGTTACCTTAAGATCAGAAAGAGGCACCCATTCCCTTCTCAAACCAACCTTAAGGAGTTTTGTGATTTAAAATCCCTTATCAGAAAAATGATAAATTACTTGCTAGTGCAAGGATGAAATCATGACTATAAAATCAGTGAATACGAAGTGTATGGTGTGTTCATTGTAATGTATCTTTCTCTTCGTAACCTTAACAGGAGCACATTCCATAAATATGGGATGTAATAATGCATCATGACATCAGCTGTAGATTAATTTTCATGTGTCTCTGAGTTGTAATAATGTTATTTTTCTACCTGTCTTTGCTCAAGTTCCCAGCTTTCTTTCTCTGTACCCCCCTTTCTTGTGGATACTGCTTATGGTATCATGTGACATGATTCAAGCAGCTCTTTGCCCCAGTGCTGTTGTACGTGCGTTAGAAAGAGGAACAGGTGGAATAGAAGCAATTAGGAAACAAAAAAAAACCAGAGCAACTTTTGCTTCAGTTTCCCAGAGTTTCTCTAGTGGTTTATCTCTTGGGTTTAAATAATAATATTTTTCTTAACTGATCATCTCTTTCCCTAAAATCTGGCACAAGTCCTTTGATCGCTGAACTGAAAGACATTTCTGGTACTAACTTTATACATCCTTGCATTTTCTGGGCCATTTAGGGATACTGACTGAGAGACTGTACATTTGGCACACTGTCAATTAGCTTTGACAAACTGACAGAGTTGGACAAAGTTCCTACTGTCAGAGAACTAATAGAACTAAGTTGACTTGTGCTTGTAATTTTGATTTCCTCCAGATGCAGGTTCTACTGGTTGCATCCTACTTTAAGCAAAAATAAAAGTTTTCCTATATATGGAGAGTAGTTCGTACATGACAGGCGAGCCACAGAAGGTCCTCATACTCAGCTGAAAGGGAATTCTCTTTTTCATGGGTGAAATAGTTCACATGTCACAGACAACTCATACGCTATCTTCTTAGCTGACTCCCTCTTATATAACTTTACTGTTTAACATCATTAATTTGGTCTTCTTGGGCTTCACTTAAGTTTCTGTCAGTTGGTAATCCCACACCCTCAGAACGGTCTTTGTTTCTGTGTTTAGGTTATTGACTGAAGCCACTTGCAGTGTTTTTTTCTCTTCCATAAACACAGACTTGTTTACAAAGATGCTTAGTGTAAAAATCCCTGCTCACTTGTTCTGACATACCTGTGTGTCTTTGCAAGCCAGAATTGATGTGTATTGGACCTCTAATCCCATTCTAGTAATTTTTCTAAGTTAAACAAGACAAAGTATTATTTGTGTGGGGTTTATACTAGTGGTAATAACAATTCGAGTAATTATATGGTTGTTTCTTAAACATTTTTCATTGAATTGAAAAATTTTAAGCAGAGAAGTGGTTTGGGAATGTAGACTAAAATTTCATCATTAAGAATAGAATCAATGTGAATTCACCTTTTTTATTAACTTGAACAAGCTATATTGACTCTTCATGGCACCTACTCCACTCATTGGAGAATTCTTAAATAATAAATGTCTTTTAAAGATGCTTTTCTTTTCTTTTCTTTTTTTGTATATTATAGGGAAAATCAATTTTCTTTTTTTTTTTTTGGCCAAGTTTGTCATTTTGTTTGTTTGTTTGTTTACACTGTATGTGTACTAGACATCACTCTTGATGAAGGAGAAATAGTTAGCCCTAGATAAAAGTGAAATGTGGAAACAGAACCTGTCCTTTTTTCTAGTCAGTTTTACAGAGACAGTGTATAGTGAACTTTACCCATAGTTTTATCTCTTCTTTGCAGTTGTGCTAGTATTTTGTGATAGCTAGTGGTTCTAAAAGAAATATTAATTACGAGAGAGAAGTTCTATGAACACATAGTTAGAAAATCGGAAATGGATCCTTTGTAATTGAGAGGTGACTTTCTGTTTTAAATAGAAATTTGATGTTTTTACTTTCTCTTGTTAACTATTTAGGAATACTTTAGTCACTGAGCAGCTGACCCATTTTAAATGTTTCTAAAATTTATAGTGATGTAACCATTATGATATCGGCATTTTATTATTGAGACAGAATAAGGTTTCAGTTTTACAAATGATATGAGTATTAGTTTTGCTTTCATTTAAAAGACACTTAATTTTTCTGTATGTAGTGAATATTGGCTGAAGATTTTGAAAGTCTAAATTACTTGGAATATATTTGAAACCTTGTTCTTATATACTTCTGTTCAAAATGTTACATATTTTTGAATCATTTCTAATATAGGCTTAAAATTTGGAGTTCTACATTTTTCAGTCTTGAAAAGACATAAATATATTTATGTTAGTACTATTGGAGCTAAATAATTTTATCCACACATTGTCATTCAGCTGTAGCTGTTTGGAATAAAATTTCTTGAACTAAGTAGCCATTTATCACATGAAATAACCATTTAAAAATGTTTTTTTCATCACATAGCATGTATTTTAATTTTTATAGATAGTACAGAGGAATTGAAGTATTGCTAGCCAAGGGGGTTATCAGCTCAAGTTCA